TTTTCTTAGCTATTTGAGAGCCAATTCTTGAAGAAATTGTCGTGTTCTTGAGCGTTTACTAGTTCACTCATATCTACTCTTGTGAGAGTTTTATTCCTGAGTGTTTAAGTGTTTTCATACACTTTAAGGGAGTTTGTTCCCTTGTTGTAAACTCGAAGGAAGTTCTTTGTTCCTTCGTAAGAAGTCTTGGAGTGCGGTATCTCCGAGCAATGGTGTTGAGGCTCGTGTGACTCGGGTTCTCAAGTTGTATCGGTTTGTTAAGCACCCTTAAGCTTAACGGAGTTAGTGTAGCTCGAGAGAGTCTCTCGGGGGGCTGGATTAGCCACACGTTGTGGTGAACCAGGATAAAATCCGGTGTGCTCCTTCTTTACGCTCTTTACTTTAACGCTCTCGTTTTAATTTCCTGCGATTTTGTTTTAAACGCTATTCACCCCCCCCCTCTAGCGTTGGGCCTTTATTCTAACAATTGCCACCATGGTTCAAGTTCGAAAAAGAGGTACCGAAAAGCAAGCATTAACTTTGTAAAGAAAATCAAAACTATTTCAAACCTGAATAATAGGTAAACGCCGAAGAAGATAATGGAAAAAATGGATGCAGTCAAAATAGATTTTTCAGTAACACTTTTAGAGTTGAGATGGAAAATCAAACCAAATTTTTAATTGAAGCTATGTACGTACCTGGCCTACAATTTCTGCCCGAAGCTCCTCCTTTAATGACCGCCGAAGCTCCTCCGTTAATGGCCACCAGAATCCCTATGGTAGAAAAGATAGTCGGCGTCGTCGTCTCCTACCTTGTTCCATTCAAAGGCTATATGTCCGCCATAGGAAGAAGAACCCTAGATGCTTCGCCGTTTAGGTGGAGGGAAGAGAGAGCCCGTTCTTTTTTACGGATCTAACGGAAGAAGAAGGATGGCGTAAAACTCGAGAACAACGGCTTAGCTTCTCCCATACGCTCTCTCTAATCAATGCCACTGCTCTCACTTTACTGTACCTGGCACTATTCGGAAGCATCGTTCCATGTGAACAGCTGGAGACAGGACGCCCTACCCATCCATGCCAGCAGAAGCCCAAACCCGACCCATTACTGTGTGTAATTGGATATCAAATTTTAGGCGGGAACACTGTTCCAATTTGCATCCTATCTTTGTATATAGTAAGATGTTCCTTGTGTGGTTTGCATTTCTATTATTTGTGTGTGTGACGTCTTAAACAAAGGTTCACATAAGTTATTTTTGACTATGTCCTTAAATAAATTAAATTCAGTGATATTACTGGTGTTTACAAAAGTTCGTATATTTGAATTAAATTGTATGAAACAAACAGAGCCTTAAATTTTTTTCTGTTCTAAAGAAGTAATATAATTTTCCCCAAGGTTCAAGTGACATTGGAGGGCAATGTCATGGGATGATCTCGGGGCGCTCTGGTGCCCCGTTCGTAAATTGACGGTTCCTACTCCTCCTAACCCCCCGACCCCGACCCGACCACACACCCCCACCCCCTTCAATTGCACCCCGCAATTTGATTTTGACTTTGGAGTCAAATTTTGACTCCAAAGTCAAAATCAAATTGCAGGGTGCAATTGAAGGGGGGTGGGGGTGTGTTCGGGTTGGGGTCAGGGGGTTTACCGGGAGGTTATGAGGGGTAGGCACCGTCAATTTTACGAATGGGGCACTCGAGCGCCCCCTAGTCATCCCATGACATTGCCCTCTAATGTCACTTTAACCTTCCTGTATAATTTTTGGAAAATTACTAATCTGAAAATTTACTTTATGAATTTATTTTAAATAATACTCATCTATATTTTAAAATTGACAATTATTAGAAAATATGAACTTGGAAAATATTTTATTTCAATTGGCCAAAGTACACAGTATAGTATGTATAATTACTTAAGTATTGGTGCGGATTTTAAAGGTTCATTTTTTTGTATGAATTAAAAAATATATTCTGTTTTTTGGGAACAATAATTTTTACTTAAACCAAGCTTTTTATGTTAATATAAAAGTATAGATACAAACAACTTACGGTTTTAAACGATATTACTGATAATTACAAAAGTTTATATGTTTGAATTAAATTGTATTGTATATAACAAACCAAAAGCCTTCAATTTATTTATGTTTTAAAATAAGTAATATGATTTTTGGAAAATTGCTTATTTGAAAATTTACTTTATGAATTTATTTTATACAATGCTAATCTAATTTTTCAATTCACAATTTTCAGTAATATGAAAATGTACAATATTTTATTTCTACTGGCCAATGTACTCAGAATATTGATGTAAATTTTAGAGACCCATTTTTTGTATGAATAATCTATACTGTGTTTTTGGGCAAAACATTTTTTTACTTCTTAAGCAATGCTTTTTATGTTAATAGGGTACAAAGAATTGAAACTGAATTTCATTAATTCAAACACAATGAAAGAAATACATTAACATTACTTAGAGATAGCCACTTCCAAAACCATGTTTCCTGCGCCATATCCAGGTTGGAAACATAGTTTGTAGGGTCTTGTAAAGATAAATACATAAGAAAACACCTTGTAACCTGTGACACACACAGGTTTAAAATAAAGTGTGGAACACACTTGAAGAACAAAATAAGATATGCACTGTCCCCAATGTGTTGAACTTGTGCATAACAGAAAGGGTGCAGGTTATTTAACGGACATAATTCTGCAAACCGTAGAATTTAACACATAACATTCTAGGAGATAAGATCTTCGATAACAATCCCATTTCTTGGTTTCTTCCTTGCTTTGGTTGTTGAGCCCTGATCCATGAGGAACTTACCAAATTCTTCATCTTCCAGACTGCGTTCCACAACTTTTGCCTTGCCTTTATTCATTTGTCTTATGCCTTCTGCATTTGAGGCAATCTGATAAAGAATTTAAAAAGTCATTCATAGCTCCCCTTTTTGTCATTATCCTCTGTATTATGAAATTAGTTAGGGACACTACTTGTTCTATGTTGAAATCTGAAAAATCAAAACCATTCCATCCATCCATCTCATCTTTAACATAGAGGGAGGCGTTTCTCAAAACAGTTTTAAACAGCCCGGTCTTTGAAAGTACTTCTTGCTCAAGTTCTTTCGGAAACTTACGGTCATCCCCGGTTCGCTTTAAGAAATAATAAAACAATTTTTACGTTATCAATCGGGTAATAATTGTTCTTAATGAAAAACATTTTTTTGAGACATTTCAATAATCAACAAACCTTGATCATAATCTCTCTCATTTTTGTAGCGAACATACCCATCATCTCCTTGCACTCTTTGTCCCAAAGGACAAACGTTGCAGTGCCTGAGGGGTCTTTCATAGTCACTGTAACTTTGTACCTAGTCATTAAAGGGACGAAAAACTTTGATCTCAATATATTTGACATTAAGCATGAGTAATATTTTTGAAATAACTCTAAAGTATGACTAATATAATTGAAATAAAATTCTGAAGAAATTAGATTTAATTAATTATCATACTTGTACTCCCCGGAGGACATAGTCTTTTGGCATTGAAGACACCGAAAAACATCACCATCTTGTACTATCTTTCGATTACAGTTTTTGTTTTTGCAACCCAAATGGTACCAGTCACTGCAGTTCTCAATGGTGACAATGTCAGCCATAATCCAGAAATAACCATCCTATTCATCAAAATCAGTTAAAACATAATTCAAGTAAAAGTAGGGAAAAAAATTTTTCAAGTAGTTTGTCCAACCTCAGTTTCATTAAGTAGGTTGTGAATGCTGGTAATCTTTAGGTTTCTACTGGTGTCTTTTGTCCCCTCACTATTATGTGTGCTTTGTGTGAGAGTAAAGGTGCTTGAGGATGTGCACTCATCAACCTCGATCTTAAATGTTTTGAGAAATTCCTTTGCCTCTTCCGATTCATTGTCTAGTATAAGTTGAGTGACGTGGAAGGATGTGGTTACTTGAATTTCTTCTGCACGTATATAATTATTTAAAAACAAAAAACATAATATGAGAAACCAAATGAATGATTCAAAACTCATACTATGAAAGCGGAATGATTTAAAACCCGTACTAAGAAATTCTTTTGCACGGCAGAACTTCAGCAGTAGAATAGGATTTGTTATTCCGGCTCCCACCGATTCGTTAAATTTGTCAATGTAGTCCTCCCACTGGGTGCACCGAAGCTTTTGTCCTCTATGAAGTGAAATTTCCTTCATGAATTAAAAAATATAATATTGAAAGGGAAATAATTTTTTTATTTAGAAATAAGCATTACTTTCCATCTTCCAAAGTCAACTCTAATGTTCTTTGGGGATACCCTTGAACCATACGGATTTGGATGTTTGTCCTTGCAATAACTTTTCCAATCACATCTGCAATTCAAATCAAATAGGATAAAATTAGTATGATAAATAGGACATGAATAAAAAATCTGAATTTCTCTTACCAGTAAGCCGGCTTTCGGATAGCGGTTCTAATAACTTTTCAAAAGGGCACAACTTGGACATAAAGCTGGGAAAACTATATGCACTGATGTCTTTCCAGGTTGTGTCTTTATAAAAACACAAAGTATATGGGTGGTCTGTGGTTTTGTAGGGTTGGTCGTTCTTGTTAACCACAAAATTTTTGAGTGCACAAGCTTTTCCTTCTTTGATTTTGGGTTTGAAATCTTCCAGTTGTGCTCTCTTAACTTGGGCATGAATTCTGGTACCTGTATATCAGAAAAGAACATGTTTATACTTTCAAACATAACCCTATACAAATTTTTGAGGTAATATGTGTTGTATACAAATACCTCCAAATCATGGAAAATAGTTTCCACGATGTTTTCTTTTCCAGCTCGGGCAGGAACGTCGTAAACTCTAACAGCTCTCACGCAAATGGCCCAATCTTATTTGAGGTCATCCAAAGCTTTCAAACTTGACCAGAGGCCACCACCTCCACTTGATGCACTTGACATTTTTGTGTTCTTCCTTTGCAGGGTGGGAGTTGATTGTTGTGATAATAGTGTGGAACCATACAGAATTGCCCAATTTATACTGTAGTAAGTCTAGAGGAGAGGTGGTGCAGGAGTGGGTGGTTGCTGCCCAGATTTTATGGGAAGTGGAGAAGTGTGAAACCACGTACAGGCAGTTGATTTTTAATTGTTTTTATTTGTTTTTCTTTATGTTGTATGAAAAATATAAGTTGAGTTTCCAATTTTTTTGGCAGCACGGAGTGGGGTGTTTTTTATTTATCTTTTTTTACTTTATTTATGGAAACTGCCCAGAATATAATTACTAAAACATTTTTAAATTTTTTTTAATATCATTACCTTAGTTTTTGTAATAATTCAGAAAAGCTCTTTAAGAATAATGGGTGTATGTTAATTTGCTTATAATTAATGGATTTAATTTTAAGATGGATTTTTATAATATTAGTTTTAAAAGCATAAAAATGGCGTGATGTTTGAAAAGTGATCGTTTACTATATTGTATTTAATGTTTGAAACTGAATCATACTAAAATTTTAAACTAAAAATATTAAGTATCCGTACATTCCAACAAAGAATAACGCATGTCCATAATTAGATTTGCTTTAGAAAACGTTCGGCCCACAACTACAGTAACCGGACCAAACTTTTAAGCGGGACAAATTTACTGTTGTTGTAAATAGTAGGGGTGAGCTTTGGTTCGGTTCGGTCGGTTTCGGGTCAAAACCGAACTAACCGAAATTTTTTTGGGATAAAAAAAACCGACCGAAACCGAACTGGTAAATTTGAATAACCGATAAACCGAAACCGATTAAACCGAATAGGTTTCAGTCGGTTATCAAAAACCGAATTGCACAGCACCCAAACAAAAAATACCTTCATGGTAAAAGATAAATAATGAATGAATGAACAATTTCGTAGCAATTCGCTGATCGAAAACCAAAAAAACATTGAAGCCAATTGAGCTAAACAAGATTGGGGCTTCTTTCTACGCGTCAACATAGTGTAATTATGAATAAATTAAAGGCCAAAGAAAAGTGGCAAAAATTCAGCCCATTTTGTAAAAGAAAAGACAACAAAACCTTATGAAATTGGCTGAGGAACTGCACCGTCGTCTTGAACTCTCAAAGAAACAACAACAACAACATCCCAGTTGAATCCCACTACACTAGGGTCTGGGGAGGGTGTGTGTACACAGACCTTGCCTCTACTCGGAAGTAGGGAGGTTGTTTCCAAGAGACCCCCGGCTCAACCTGCACAAAATTATGGAAGGGAACACAGTATAATACGGGTAAAGCACCAAGTACAAGCAATGAACTCTCAAAGAAGAAGGCAGAAATGGCTATATCGCAGAGGCTTGGACTCTCAATCGGATCTGCAAAGGATGAGGCTTCGAGAATCGCGATTAGGCGGAGTAACGATCAAAACCTAAAATTAGAAATCCCAAATCTCAATCGCCAGGATGAGGAGTGGTGGAGTACCCGTAAGCTACTGTCAACTCCCAATGGATTTTAGTGTTTTAGATAATGGAGTGGGCTGATTTCTATTGGGCTAATTCCTATTGGGCTTTAAAAATGCGTATCATTAATTAGTAAACACATATGCTGGTTTACCCAAAGAAAGCATGTATATCGGTTGTTCGGTTAACCGAATAAACCGACACCCGAAACCGACACCAAACTGAAGTACCTGAATAAACCGAATTTTTTATTATATAAAATCGAAATCAAAACCGAAATCGATTTAGCGGTTACTTCGGTTTTCGGTTTAACGGTCGGTCCGGTTAATTTGCTCACCGCTAGTAAATAGGAGGATTGCAACCAATAGTTGAGATGGTATTTTTACTGCGTATTTGGGCATTGAAAACCATGTTAGGTTTGTGTCAGTAGAGAAGAGCCGGATGCTTTGTTTTTCATTTCCTTTACTTATATTGTCCTTTACTTTCCCTTTTCTCATACAGTACGTTAATGGCTTCCATCTCTGTGATTATGCTGTAATGAATGCTCTCTAATCGTCGCTGCTTTTACTTTGAGGGAGTGCGGGCACCCGGACATCGGAGGAAGAAGAAGGGAAAATGGCTGCCGGAATGCAATTCGATCGAAGATTGGGTTCTATACTACTTCTATGAGACTTTCTCGTTATCCGGCGATTACCTGAAAGTTCTGCCGCCATTTCCGCCGCCGCAAACCTTGAGTACAGCGGTTGCATTTGCCTTATCAATTGCCTGACGATTTGTCGTTTTCTAATTCGGTGATGTTAATTGGCCATGAAACGCTCATCCCTAAAAAGGGAAAGTCGGAAGAGAAAAGAGAGGACGAGAGCGAGACGGAGGGAAGGAAAGGCTTTGAAATCACCACCACCACTCCGAGGTCTGTTATTATAATCCCCAGGAGCAAATCGCACGGCACCATTCGGAGAGTCACTCCCACCAGTTCAACGGCTGTGGTTGAGAAACGCCTTTCCAACGGAGATCTGTATGTAGGGGACTTCTTCCTCAATGCGCCTCACGGATCTGGGAAGTATTTATGGGCCGATGGGTGCATGTATGAAGGAGAATGGAAGAGAGGGAAAGCCTCTGGGAAAGGAAAGTTCTCTTGGCCGTCTGGGGCTATCTACAAGGGCGAATTTAGGTCTGGTCGGATGGAAGGAACGGGCACATTCATTGGGCCGGGCGGTGATATGTACAAGGGTGCATGGCTGGCAGATCATAAACACGGGTTTGGGCAAAAGCTTTACTGCAATGGAGACTACTATGAGGGCCATTGGAAAAGAAACCTGCAGGATGGACAAGGAAGGTATGTCTGGCAGAATGGGAATGAGTATATTGGGGAATGGATGAATGGGACGATTCATGGAAGAGGTGTCTTGATTTGGTCCAATCAAAATCGGTATGCTGGGTGTTGGGAGAATGGTGCTCCAAAAGGCCATGGAGTTTTCACTTGGCCTGACGGCAGTTGCTACATGGGCTACTGGTCACAAGAGGAGAGAAATCAGCATCACACTCAAGTCTTGAATTGGACGCTTTATCCTGCACGTACAAGTAAAACAAATTTGTGTCATGTAAAAAATGATATCTGCAAGTTTAATTTTAAAGATGAAGGATTTTATGCGTTCTCTAGGCATACGTTGGGTTCACCATTAATAGAAGATGGGAATTGTGGAGTGGCGGTGACAGGTGAGGAGATAAAATACTCTGTTGGCAGAAGGGAGAGCTTGGAAGGAAGAAGTTTCCCAAGGATTTGCATCTGGGAATCTGATGGCGATGCCGGGGATATTATTTGTAACATTGTTGACACCATGGAACCCATGGAACCATCTAGGTTATACTGGGATGGGGTCAGGCAGTTTAGGAGAAAGGATGGGAAAGGAAAGAAGCCTGGCCAGTCAATATCAAAAGGGCATAAGGACTACGATTTGATGCTAAATCTTCAGTTGGGCATTAGGTATGTTTTACCAGCAGTTGAGTTGCTTTAATTATCTTACGAGTATCTTCTATGTTTTTCACTTTCAATGCCGTATTGTTTTCTTAGAGCTTTGCGGTAAAACCTTGTAGTTTTTCTGTTGGAAAGCATGCTCTGGTGTCACGAGAGCTTAAGCCAAGTGATTTTGATCCAAAGGAGAAGTTCTGGACTAAGTTTCCGCCAGAAGGGTCAAAGTTCACACCCCCACACAAATCTGCAGAATTCCGGTGGAAGGACTATTGTCCATTAGTCTTTAGGTATTGATTTTGTTTTGTGACTGACTGTTTTTTTTCAGAATCAGATTTAAATTCTTAAACTATCTATTAGCATTATTATTTTTTCTCTCACTACATTGTAAATGATGAAAATTTGATGCTATAGATCAATGAATTGTCCAACCAATAAAGATTCTTTATGTTGATTTGTTGTTTATTATATATAGGCGTTTGCGGGAGCTATTCCAAGTAGACACTGCAGGTTACACCATGGCTGTCTGTGGAGATGATGCACTGAGGATGTTTTCTTCTCCGGGGAAGAGCGGGAGTTGTTTTTATCTGACACAGGATGATAGATTTATGATCAAAACTGTCAAGAAATCAGAAGTCAAGGCTCGTAGCCTTTGATATGTTCTGGACATATTTTTCTCATTATTTAGACTTCCTTATCATTGGATAATCAAACATTGGTCAATTATTTGGAATTTAAACATATTAATGTTTTCCCTCAGGTTCTTATTAAGATGCTGCCAAGCTATTATCAGCATGTTTGTCGCTATGAAAATTCTCTTGTTACAAAATTCTATGGTGTGCATTGTGTGAAACCGGTAGGTGGCATGAAGGTATGCGATCAATGATAAGGACTTAATGCTTTATCTGTGGTGCAAATGTAGCTATGTCTAATTTATCTTATTATCTAATTTGTTATAGACGCGGTTTATTGTGATGGGTAATTTGTTCTGCTCGGAATACCAAATTCACAGGCGTTTTGACCTTAAAGGTTCCTCTTATGGCCGCACAACTGATAAACATGTGGACGATATTGATGAAACCACTACTCTTAAAGACCTTGACCTTAATTTTGTTTTTCGGCTTCAGCAGAACTGGTACCTAGCACTAATCAGGTTAGTATCAGGCTTATTCCTTTTCAGTTTACACTCTCCAAATTTTATGTTTTCACTTTTGCATATTTCTAAGTTGCCGGTTCATTTCACAGACAAATTGATCTCGATTGTGAGTTTCTGGAATCAGAGAGAATCATGGATTATAGTTTTCTGGTAGGTCTCCACTTCCGCGGTGATAATACCAGTGATAAAATGGGGTTGTCACCTTTCCTCTTGCGAACAGGTTAATATCCTAAGTTGTTACAATCAGTCTTATGTAGCTTATCAAATCTTGTACTACACAAGCAGGATTAGGGGCTTGTTTCATTTTCAGGAAAAAGTGATTCATTTCAAAATGAAAAGTTTATGCGTGGCTGCCGATTTCTTGAGGCAGAGCTACAAGACATGGATCAAATTATAGCCGGCAGGTATGTTGCCCTTACTATTAATCTCACCATTTCTAATTGGCCTATGGGAAAGAAGTTGGATATAGCTGTTAATGATTTTCTTATGAAAGCTAAAAAGTTTTGTACTAGGATTATAAAAACCCAGAAGTGCATTATGTATTGGTCTTTGTTTCGTCATGATCTATGCGTTAGCAGTGACATATTTCCCATTGAATTTGAGCCTGATAGTTGTGCTCGGTTTAATATTTCAATAATCGCTGGAATGTGTGTTAGATTTTGTTTGGCTTAATATATTGTCAAATGCTTCTTATTTTTAGCAATTTCGTTACAAATTCCATATATTGAGTGGCAGAGTTGATTCAGTAGGAAATATGTATACATCTAATAATATTATAAACTCCCTCCATTGCTATACTGTTGTCCACTTTGCAAAGCACCTCCTATTTAAGGAATACAGGTAAATTAACAAAATACCTTTGGAATTAGTTTGTCCTTCAATGATGGCAGCAAAGTTAACATGCTCTTTAGGGGATATTTTTGATCATTCCTAATAATTTACTCCCTCCGTCCAAGTTGTTTCTTCCCGTTTTCACTTGGCACAGTTTTTAGTACATATAAGATAAAAATCATTTTGACTTTCCAAAATTACCCTTTCAATTTTCTGTTCATCCATCCTCTTCCCTTTCATTGATCTGAAAGTTTCATCCGTTCTCTTTAATCTGGATTTTATTTGGTACCCATCCCCTCAAATAGTGGTCAGTGGGTAACAATATAACATTCTTCGATCTGGAAGTTTCAACACCGCAGCAGTGACAAAGTGCGTCGATGAAGAATTAAGATCTGGCAGAAGCTTGGTTTTTAATTAAAAATCATGAGAACCAGTTTGCTTCTCAGTTTAAAAATAAAATCTGAAAACGAGATGAACTAATAACTGGAACGGACGAGAAGCTTTCTCGTCACCCTTCCTCGTTGCCCCATTCACCATTTTTTTCACCTTCGTCCAAACATCTGTCAAAAGGAAGACAATAAAGGAAGGAGGAATGAAGAAAAAAGGAAGGAGGAAATGATGAAAAAATGAAACGAAGGAGAAAACATTGAAAAATGGGAGGACTGGTAATGGAGAAGACAAGAAGGGAAAATGGGGAAGAGGTGTGAATAGGTATGGAGAGAGAGGAAGAAGAAAAAGGAAGGGGTAAATGAGTCTTTTTAGTGCAATTTCCTTTCCAAATAAGGAAACAAGAAGAAAGATATGAGACGGCACAAAAAGGAGGAGGAGGAAAAATATGGGACAAATATGGGAAGTGGATTATTAATTCCGGCACCCTAAAAAAGGTGGACTACAAAATCATGATTGTGAGGAAACCGCGCGTGTGTCTATATGTATCTGTGGGTGCACGCGTGCGTGCGTGTGTCACACTCTTTTTTTGGTTTTGGTATGTCCCATGTGAATTGTGGGGCTCAAATCATTTCACACTTTACAAATTTATTATCAAAGACACAATCCCCCTTTCCTAAATATACGTGTCATTCTCCCATTTCCAAGAGTTAGTGGGATGGAAGGAGTTGTTTATTTATTATCTGTATACATGTAAATGGACAGTTAAGAAAACCCCATTTTCGTTAACTCTATGTGACAGAGATGCAAATGCTATGGTAGATGTGCATGCAGACGAGGTTGGATAGGATTCAAAACGAGGTTAGTCGGAGAAGGATGGGAGTGGCACTTTTGGATGTTTAGTTGGGGAAGCTAAGTTGAGGTGGTTTGGGCATGTGAAGCGGCGACCCCAGTGCGGAGATGCGAGAGGTTTACGGTTATGGATAGGGATGGAGGAAGGGGTAGACCTAGGAAGAAGTGGAAGGAGGTGACTAGATAGGATCTAAGACTTCTTGTCCTTACCAAGGATATGACCTTAGATTGGAGCATCTAGAGATCTGGGACTAAAATAGGTTGATAATCTTTTGGGCCTTGGTGGTAGTTTTTGATCTTGTCTTTGTGTGCTTTCTCTGTGCTTGGAGTCTCGTTGCTAGCAACGATTTCTGTGCTTGTCTTTGCGCTCTTATTTGCATTTACTTTGCTCTATGCTACTTCTTTGTCTTGTTTCATGTTTGGTTTACGCTGGTTGTGCTAGAGCTAGAGGTCTCTTTGAAACTGTCTCTCTAGTTTCAAGTATGAGTAAGGCCTGTGTACACCCACGCTCCCCAGACCCTACTTGTTACATGTAGATGAATTCACTCTGTGTTAAACGCAACAAATGCTTGCAGTTCATTTTTAACAAATTTGATTCGTGTGTATATTTTATCAGGAAGCCTTTGATACATTTAGGAGCAAACATGCCTGCAAGAGCAGAGCGAATTGGCCGGCGGAGTGATTTTGACCAGTACATCCCTGGTCGGTCTTATCCCCTGCCCCCTTCCCGTGCCTTTGAAACCTATGAAGTAATCCTCTACTCTGGGATCATTGACATCCTACAGGACTATGATATTAGCAAGAAGCTTGAGCATGTCTACAAATCCTTTCAAGTTGATCCCACCTCAATATCAGCGGTTGATCCCAAGCTGTATTCAAGGCGGTTTCGGGATTTCATAAGGAAAATTTTTGTTGAAGACAGCAGGTGACTCGAGAGATGAACTAGTTGAATGGATATTTATCCACACAAACTCTTGAATTGATGATTTACTCGTGGATGATAGAAGAACCCCATAAAACTGGCTGCTGCAGTGCTCATATGATTTGCAAGAGTATGGAACACTCTTTGGGTTGGGGCTGTTGGCAAAGGTGTGATTCTTTTTTGGGGTAGTCCCCACATGGCTTTATTTTGTCATCCAAACGTAGGTGAGAAAAATAGGTTACCTGTACATTGCATGGTGAAGGGGGTAAAGGAAGATTGTTCTGCTATTCTTGAGTAAAGATTTTGTTGTCTGGGGGATATGAAGATTTCAGTTAATAGGTCTCACAGAGATAGAATTCCCAACAAAAGAAGGAAAAAAAGATGAGGGGCATAATAATGTTATTGTACAGCATTTAGGCACGTAACATGCTTTCAGCTCTACCATTTCTTTGTTTGATTACTGATGCAAAATGCATGCATATTGATGGTACATGCATTTTATTGTGAAATTTAACATAATAAGACGCTTACGGAGTATTTTTATACTATCAAAGCGTATTATCTGATGTACTCCTACTATAATGTACTCCATCTATCGTATTTGGCATCTTTAGTTTCCTTTTAACATATTTTCTTCTCTCAACCACATGCTTTTTTACTTTTTGAATTGTGGTGCTAAATGAAGTTCAAAATTTCCAATGGTACATAGGAGTACCTCGGACTAGGGCTGTCAACGGATAGCCGAAAATCCGTTTACCGTCTGCATCCGTATCCGTTTAAAGAAGGAATATCCGTATCCGTTTTAAACGGATATTATCCGTATCAGATTACTAAACGGATACGGATATGGTAATTGTATATCCGATCCGTTTAAAATCCGATCCGAATATACACCCGTTTAAATAACCGTTTATCAATATCCGTTTATCCGAATACCGAATAATTTTTTGAATAAATATAATCCTAGTATCAAGTATTTACATAGTTTACCATTACTAATTTATTTGTTAATTCCCAATATGTTACCCTATTATGTAAAAAAAGAAAAAGCCCACAAAGAAATTTTTAGGAAAAAAGGAAAAAACCTACTTCAAAACATGTTAACAGGTTTGGTATATTGTGGGTTTTGAAGTATGAAGCAAGTGAAATAGCTTGTAATTTTGGATGCATCAAAGATTATCTTCTTGAGAAAATTTTGAGATGTATTAAATACGATTTGTACTTTATCGATTAGAAATTTATATTTTTGTTCGTATTATTAGATATTTGGTAAAATATTGACTATTGTTTTTTTGTATCCTAAAGTTTTTTTGGTATTAATGTATTATGGACTTCAATTACAGTTTTGGACTGTGTTTAATTTATTTATAAATAGATTTGGATATCTAATTGGATTTTTTAATGGACTCAGATATTTTCAGATTCGGTTACTTTCGGATATCTAATCGGATTCGGATATTCGGTTACTTTCGGATATCTAATCGGATTCGGATATATCCGAAACTGATAATTATCCGTCGGATACGGATTCGGATATAGTATAGTAAATATCCGCCGGATACGGATACAGATTCGGATATTCCTAAACTTAAACGGATACGGATTCGGATATGCCATATCCGTAATGGATATTACCCGTTTACACCCTTACCTCGGACTCCCTCCGTTGCCAAAATACCTGTTTACTCCCTCCGTCCCAAATTATAATGCATGTTCACTATTCACAGGGTCAAGCTTCATTCACTTTCTTTCCCAATTTTCGTTAGCAATTTGATAAAAAAAAATATTGTTGTCACTACTAGTTTTATAGTTTTATAGATCTTTTAATGTAGTATTTTGATATGTAATTTTTATTTTTTAACTCTATATCATTTGTCATATAAAATGATTTGAAAATAAATTGAGTCAAACATCGTAAACCAAAACAGGCTTTGACAGAGGGAGTACAATTTTAGGTATTTGATAACTTTTATTTGCGTGTGATTTTCATTAATCATTTAATAAAATAAAATAAAATATTCTTATTATCATATAATTTTGGAATAATTCATATCAATAATTTTAGAATTGCATGAGTTTACATAAATATTCTGCGATTCAATAAATGACATTGATGCTACCAAAATTTTTCTATATTCACGTTGGTGCTCCGAAAATTGATGTGTTCATATCAGTGCTCAACATTTGGAGCACATAAATAAACAATATATCAATTCTCGGAGCTCACCATGAGCACTAATCCCAAGCTGGTGACTCGAGAGATGATTAAGCTCCCCATTCTCATTTGAATATATATATATATATATATATATATATATATATATATATATATATATATATATATATATATATATGTTCTGGTGAGAATGCGATCTTATGAAAGAAATAAGAATGAATATGATGCTTTAGATTGTGAGATTTAAGGGTCATGATTGCATCAAAATTAGGTGCACCAAAATGGATTGAAAATGCATCATGTCGAAATGCACCAAAATCCTATGAAAATGCACTATATCAAAATCTGAGCTGCACGATACATCAGATCCAAAGGCTAGATTTTATTCTTATTTCTTTCACCAAGGTGCATTCTCACCTGAACCAGCCCCTATCTTATATATATATATATATATATATATATATATATATATATATATATATGATAGATTTTATTCTTATTTTTTTCACGAATGGGTAGAATTGTATTTTCCCAAGAAATCTATTTCTCGCTCAATGTGGATGACATGGTGTTTCTGAAAAGAGGGTGGAAGTAGACTAAAATGCCCTTTTGGGCTAAGGGAAATTAAAAGGAAAGAAACTATACACAGACATGATTATGTTTCAATGGTGCCAAATTTTTACTTCATTGATTTTTAAAAATTAAAATTAGAAATTTCCATTCTTTAGTTTATTCATTTTTTTTAAAATTGTGAATCAAGCTGCCCCTAAAAAATTGTTAATCAATCTGTTTTTTTTAATTTAGACATAAAATGAAAAAAAGGGGAAAACGTGTAAATTTGTAATGCTTAAAAAACGAACACATTTCATATTTAGAAAAAAAAAGATTTAGATCCACTACTGTTGGAAGACCTTGAGACAAATCCGACTCCTCAGACTAAGCACACAGTGATTCCGGTACCATCACTTTGATTAGAGGCAGGGGTAGTATAGATCTGTGTTCCACTTGGTCAGATTCAGGGGCTGTTTGGCAACTTCTAAATAGGTAAGTGCTGAACCAGTAAGAGGTCTGAACTATTAAGTGCTGAACCAGTAAGAGGTTTGAACCATTAAGAGCTGTATACTGCTTAATTTTTCAGAGGCAAATGTCTGATCAATTCAGATAAGAGGTCTTAACCATTCAGACTCTGTATAATACTTAACCATTCAGAGGCAAATCTCTTAACCATTCAGACATTTGAACCATTAAGAGGCTGAAACAAACAGTCTGAACCATTAAGTGCTGAACCATTCAGACATCTGAACCATTAAGAGGCTGAAACAAACAGCCCCTCAGATTGTTTCACTCTTACAAGGGTATATTTGAAAGTTCCAGAGAAAAAGAAGAGTAAAATTCAATAAACTGTTCAACTCCTATCACGTCAATAATTCATCTAGGGTTCAAATCTTGAATGAAGGACACAGAAGAGAATGAGATGATAGGAGAGAGAGAGACGCGGAGATAGGAGTTGATACGGATCAGCCAATAAACACATTGAGGTGGATGGAAATATTATTGCGTAGGAAGAAGAGTAAGGGGCTGTTTGGCAACTTCTGAATGGGTAAGTGCTGAACCAGTAAGAGATCTGAATCATTAAGTACTGAATCAGTAAGAGGTCTGAACCATTAAGAGCTAGTATATTGCTTAACTATTCAGAGGCAAATGTCTGATCAATTCAGATAACAGCTCTTAACCATTCAGGCTCTGTATAATACTTAACCATTCAGAGGCAAATCTCTTAACCATTCAGACATCTGAACCATTAAGAGGCTGAAACAAACAGTCCGAACCATTAAGTGCTGAATCATTCAGACATCTGAACCATTAAGAGGCTGAAACAAACAGCCCCTAAATAGAGGTGGATGGAAATATTAAATGGAGGGTAAAATGGACAATTGAAAGCTTTAATCATACTAAAAATAGAAAATGAACAAATACAGTGGGACGATCCAAAAAGAAAAAGTGGACGAATACAGTGGAACGGAGGGAGTAATTTTTTATTCTATGACAACAGGGGAAGGTTGCTAACGGTAGTGCATTCCGCTATTGATGTAAAAGCATCGTGCACTTGTAAGTACTTTAAGTGGACTGGAACTTCTTAATTTGTAAATTATGCATTTGATTCGATAATATCTGGGCAAGATTTGTAGGTGGTATTCAGTGATGCATGATAAGAGCTTAAGAGTGCATTATGTTCAATATCTAGGATACCAACATGTTAATGGTGTGGGTTGCAGTAGAGGACTTACGGACAGAGCAGAAAAGAAAAAAAAAACAGAATAGAGAGAGGAAAGGTGCTGGTGCAGAATTTACAGACCAGCCGCACAAATTCGATCATCTCCGGAGATCCGACCGTTGGATTGAGCTGAAATTTTCAGAGGTTGTTCCCAACACTTAGGGCTTCAATCTGTTCAAGTTTCACTTCAATCGGAGCTACGGATCTTCTGTAATCGCAGCTGGTGCGACGCTGCGTTTTTGGGTGATAATCCTGATTTTCCTTCTCTCTTGTTGATGCCTCTTATGTATGTTGTTGTTGGTGGGCTGTGACATCCTTGTAGACTGAGTTTGGGTGTTTTTACCCTCAATTTGCATAATAAGAGAAGAAGAGGGCGGACTCCCTATAAGTACCGTGGTTTTTATCCTTCACATCGAAGGGGTTTTCCACGTATAAAAATCGTGTGTCGTTTGCATCTTTATTCTTCATATTTGATTGTGGTTTATTTGATGTGCTGCTGATTTTGTGTGCTTGGTTAATCAATTGTGGTAAATTGGGTCAAGTGTTTGGTTGGTTGTCTTGAAGTTGATCCTTGTAGGTGTCGTATCCTACTTGTTGCTTCTCCCCAAACAATATGTGTGTTGTTGGATAGTGATGTACCCTGAGTTATTAATAGTACATTGTATTCTTATCCTTTTATAAAGGTTGGTGGTATAAGTCACGACCTTAAATCATTGTCAAGTGATAGTAGATGGATATGTTTTATTTTTGGAAGTTTGCTATTACTATATTGGGTTATACAATTTTAGTAAAGAGTAATGTATTGGTGATGGATTATACTTTTGGTTCTCATATTCAGTGTTGGTGGGGGAGTTATATATAAGAGCTCCAGAGCAAAAAATAACATCAAAGGGAATGGGGCAAATACCATCATCAATTCAATATGCAGCGAAGAGATTTAGTTTGGTCCTCTTCTCTTTTACTTCTCTTTTTCCAAAATAAACTACGATGTTGAGGTAGTACTGAAAGCAAAATCAACGGAGCATTTCATTTTCACAATTATTTTTAGGGTCTGGTCAAGATTAGTTTACATCATCATTTTAATTGCTCTGAATCTATTTTTTTCCTAGTTTCAATGTTTTATTGAAAGCTATACTAGTAAATGATGTTTTTTGGTAGTATTTGCTTTTGAATGTAATTCTTTATACACTATATTCCATTCATATGTCCCCCACCCCCTCCTTGTCCACTAAAAAAGGCAAACAAAATTTAAAAAAATAAGTAAATAAAAATCAAATAAAAATGTGTGGTGGAGAAAGATGTGGTGTACATTTGGGGTACACCATTTGGTGTACCCCTAGCATTGCTCTAACTTGTAATCTAAAAGCCAACTACAAATAGTGCTTCAAATAATGAATGGTAATAGTTGGAGTGGTGCACAGTACATATTACATATTATAATTCATAATCGTTAGTTCTAATCAAAATGAAATTATGATGGATCTTATTCATATTCATATGCATCTTTGTAGTATACATAAACATCTTGTTTAGCTTCACCTGTATCTTTTTCCTCATTTCATCTTTATATGTAAACCTACATCACACCCAACTTGGGCTATGAAAACAATTAAGAACCTTATGTAGTATGACTAGTATCATTCTTCACATACAATTAATTTTTAATGAAATTGTATAATATTATCATGTGCCAATGCACCATATATTTTTACGTGGCCACTTCGCACCCAAGAATGTGATGTTAACATATTGATAATGCACTCGAAGGGAACAACAAGCTATTGCATTATGAATTCCTAACATGATGCATATATGGGCATTGACATAACATACATTCATTAAAATAAAATTCATCTCCAAAAAAACCACATACTCTCGTGCACGGGAACAAAACAGAAAGCAGAACCTAAAAAGAAAACCAAACAAACCACACATTCATATTTGTATGATTTTTTTTAATAATAAGACTCTTTGTTTATTTATTACATGTAGTTCAATTACAATTATATTTAAAATCATTTTTGAGTTTTTTCTTCATCAGTGTCTATGCGAGATTAGAACCTTCATCTATATACGATTGCATACTGCTCTACCATTTGAGCTAATAGGCAATTGATTGATTTTTGTAAAAATTGTGCAATATATGATCCCAAGGAATGCACATAAAAATCAATAAGTTAAAATCAATAAGTTATTCATGTCCCAAAACACTACTTCACTTGAAATTCTCAAAAATAATTTAAAAAATATGCATATACTAGTGTTAACCCACACAGGCTCGTATATATTCTAAATTTTTGATATTCTATTAATAAAGTTTTATTTAGTTTAGCTATTCCATTAAATTATAATATGTGTTGTATAAATTGTTTTTAAATATAATTTTATTTTTAATTTTAATGAAGATGTATTATTTTTTTTGTTTTTTTGCTTGAATGGAATTATTTAACACAACCATTTGTGGCGTGACAAACGTTGTACAGAACACGTGTGACCTTATACTATCTTTGAAACACATAAAACTTTATTTCTAAAAATAAAATAAACACAAATAATTTATTTTTCTTAAAAATTGTGTATGGAAAAATTAATGCAAACGTACAAAAAATTAATATGAAATATATATTTTAAATTAAGGTTTAGGTGTATTAAAATTTATAGGATAAAGTAAATGGTGAATTGTTTAAAAGTTTATCAATAGTTTTATTTTTAAAAAATATAAAATAACTTTTTTGCATTTGAAAGTACGGAGTATGCTACCATAGTGATAAAAAATAATTTTTTTGCATTTGAAAGTACGGAATATGATAAAAAATATAAAATAACTTTTTTGCATTTGAAAGTATGGAGTATGTTACAATAGTGAAAATGTAAAAATAATTATTATTATTTTAGTGAAAAAGCAAAAGGTTAGAAGGCGAAAAGTTTATAAACTCTAATATAATATGTTTATTTAATATAAAATTTAATATGCATGCGTGGCATAACATGTAACGCCCCAAAATATATCATATAATTATTAATGAATAATTATTCGATTAATTAAATTTGTTTTGATTAAAATAAATTGTTATTGGGCTTTGGGCCGAAATAAAATGTGTTTTGATATCCAATATCACAATCAGGATAAATTTCATAGAGATAAATCCAATATGTTGACTATTTGTGCGGTCTTGATTGGGAACCTGAGTACAGATACAAATTAAGAATAAATAAAGAAATTGTTTATGATGTGAACTTTGAAGTGATTTACTGAAATAAATCATGAGAACAAATGATATGAATTAGATGTGAGAACCTTTTTGAATAAATGTCAATTAAATCAATTTTGACTCTGTCAAAGTCACACCAAAAAATATGATGTCAGAAAAAGTATTATAAATAAATTTAAAAATTATATCGTTGAATGGATCTCGACTTTCTGATCGCAACAATGCAAACGGAATTCAATTCGGAGAAAGTTGGAACAAAAAGTGTTGGAACAAAAATTGGTCCCAATCAGGGGAGACGTGTACAAACGATGCCTCCTCCTCCACTACAAAGATACGCCGAATGGAATTATATAGCATGCTTGGAAGCTTTCCCCCATCTCCTTCCTATATAAGACTACCAAAGCTTAACCATTTCTCAAAATATATCTTCCTATTCTGTTGCTCTAAGTGAGGAGAACACAGTGGTGCTGTCAATTTGGTGAGAGGTCGCCAGAGTTGGGAGTCTTCGTCCCTGGAAGTTTTGTCGGAAAATCTCCAAAATCTTCGTTGATGTAACACCCTGGCCCCCACCATGGCCGTAAGTGTCCGCTCATAGGATTGTAAACTGGCCCCACAAACCAACACATGTCTTTCCTGCGCACTTTGTCCTCACTCGTGCGGGCCCAAGGACACTTCTCAGGGGGTCACCCGTCCTAAAATTGCTCCAGGTCAAGCACGTTTAACTTTGAAGTTTCTAGGTGATGAACTCTCGAAAAAAAGATGCACCTTGTTGGTATGAGTAGTACTATCAATCCTTTTGAGCTCTTCCCATTCCCATCTTTGTCCTCACTCGTGCGCGCCCAAGGAAACTTCCTAGGGGTCACCCATCCTAAAATTGTTCCAGGTCAAGCACGCTTAACTTTGAAGTTTCTAGGTGATGAGCTCTCAAAAAGAAGATGAACCTTGTTGGTATGAGTAGTACTATCAATCCTTTTGAGCTCTTCCCATTCCCATCTTGATAGAGGTATTACATTCATCCCCACTTAGGAATGCAACGTCCTCGTTGCATCCTTTTTTTGAACCCATAGATCTTCCCCGCTAGGGGGACTAAGCTCTTTTGGCCCGTCACGGTCGCAGGGTTGCTCTGATACCATTTGTAACACCCTGGCCCCCACCCTGGCCGTAAGTGTCCGCTCATAGGATTGTAAACTAGCCCCACAAACCAACACATGTCTTTCCTGCGCACTTTGTCCTCACTCGTGCGCGCCCAAGGAAACTTTCCAGGGGGTCACCCATCCTAAAATTGCTCCAGGTCAAGCACGCTTAACTTTGAAGTTTCTAGGTGATGAGGTCTCGAAAAGAAGATACACCTTGTTGGTATGAGTAGTACTATCAATCCTTTTGAGCTCTTCCCATTCCCATCTTGATACGGGGTATTACAGTTAAGCTTCGAGGTAAGCCCGTAGATATATCTAGTGACTAGAATGTTCGTATAGATCGTTTCGACGTTCATAAACGATCGTTTTGTTGAGTTTTGTGTTTGACATCTTTAAAGAACCAAGAATCATAAATCTTGAAATTGTTATTAAAACTACGAACTAATGATACCCAAATGATCTACGAAGATTGGAGAACATTTTTATACAATTTAATTGAAGTTTGGTGACTAAAAATGAAATTCTAAAAAATGGACCCGAGGAAGAAGACGATGAGATATGTACGGTAACACACCACTGCCGGTACGGTAGCTAGGTACTTTCCAAACGGTACCCACCTACCACCGGAACGGTAGAATGCTACCGTCAACAATGAAGTCCTCTGGCAGTACCTGTCAACCGGTGGTACCCCCTACCGTTGGCACAGTACCGAGGTACCGTTGGCACATACTGAGGTACCGTTAGCCGGTACCGAGGTACCATGAAGGGTACCGTCTGATCTGATAATTTTCTAGAAAATCCGATTTTTGAACCATTAAATGCTGTTTTTGACACCAATCAATTATGATAAGTATGAATATGATTTCTAAAAATAAAAATGATGTTTTTACAGATTCAAAAGCTTTGTTTGATGCAGGGTGTTAACACTCGACGCTAGACCACTATTTGTTAATAAATGTTACGATGACTATTATGATCAAACCTTGGTAATATTCTGAATAAATGAATATTATAATGGATAAAGCTTAATGGAACATCATTGATAAAAAATATTGGTTATGACAATCAAATGGACGACCCGAGCGATTATGACTATATAACGATAATGATTTTATTCTGATAAAATAATTAAGTAAGAAAATGAACGAATGAACCGTAAGGATGAAATCGTAGATAGATATGTTTGTTTGACTATCTTGAATTAAATGATGTTTATGAATTAATGAATTATGATTCCAAATGAATAAGTAGATAAACAAGAAAAATGATGTGTATTGTTAAGGATATCTAAA